ACCCGGCTAATTTTTTGTATTTTTTAGTAGAGACACGGTTTCACCGTGTTAGCCAGGATGGTCTCCATCTCCTGACCTCGTGATCCGCCTGCCTCGGCCTCCCAAAGTGCTGGGATTACAGGCGTGAGCCACTGCGCCCGGCCAATATTTTCTTTTACAAAGACTGAATTTGCCATTTTTGCAGCTACCTCTTTATCTGTAGCTTCAGGAAAGACTGTTCTAAAAGAGGCTGGTAGTAAGTTTGGCTCTTGTGCCAGGACTGTGTGTGAGGATAGATGGTGACCATGGGGGCTCCAGGGCAACACCTGCCCCTCCCCAGGAAGATACCATAGTCCGATCTGGCATGGGAAATGAAGGGGCTGGGGGGTCTATCATTTCTTTAATACATAATGATAACCATACTGCATCTGACTCAGTGTAGCCCCTGTGCTTTCTCCAAGCCTTTCCCCACTGATTTGCCCATCTCCCCAGCCCTGTGAGGCGGGCAAGAACTGAGGTCCAGAGAAGTTATCTGAGTAGCCTGAGTTCACACAGCTAGCTAGGGACAGAGCCAGGACTGGATACCTGGACTTGGCAGTCCCCTCCCATCCCCAAGAGCAACTTAAAAACTCACGAAGGCAGGAGGGCCCAAAGGTGCCTGCGGGGCAGCAGAGCTTCAGGGAATCTGAGCACAGCCACTGGAACAGGTCCGGGGCCTCCTGCTGCCTGAGGCAGGGGCAGGGTGGAGGGAAGTGGGGAGGAGGCGCTGAGACAGTGTCAGAAGTGCTGTTCCCATTCCCCCACGCCTGAATCTGTGATTCAACCCAGCTTGGACATAAGACCCAAAAGGCCATCTGACCAATGCCCTTTCCCCATTTGGCAGAGGGGTAAACTGAGGCTCAAGTGGAGCACAAGTCCCCCTGCAAGTCCTTAGCAGATCTGGGTTTGGAAGGAGCAGAACCAGGACATGGCCCCCAGCATGCACCCCCCTGCTTCTTGGCCAAGTCAAGGCCTTATCACCAGGCCCCACCTGTGACCCACTCCCAGGGAAGGCCCCCTTGCCACTCACTTGTGAAACCACCAGCTCTCCACTAGCTCCTCACTCAGCTCCAGCAGGCGGTGGCACTCAAAGTCCGACTTGCTGCACACGCCCTCCAGCACCTCTACCAGGCGGGTCTCACTGACGGGACAGGGCAGGGCTGGTGGGAAACACGTCCCATCCCGCCCACCACCCTCCTCAGGTCTCTCTCTACCCTTCCTCGTGCCGTGACAATATGAAAGGAAAGGCCATGAGGTACAATAGAAGGGATCATGGTTCTGGGAAGCAGACGGACGTGGGTTCAAATCTAGTGGTAGGACCTTGGGGAAGTCACTTAACTTCTTTGAACCTCTTTGTTTTGTCATCTGTAAAATGGGGACAACAATACCTTCCCTGCAGGTTTGTTGTAACATACATCAGTTCCTGCATCTGAGCAATGGAATATAATACCCTTGCTGGGTAGATATAGCTAAAAATACATCCTATAACAAGTGTTGGCAGGGATGTGGAGAAATTAGAATCCTCCCACACTGCAGATGGGAATAAAAAATGGCATCACCATTGTGGAAAAGCAGTTCCTCAATAAGTTAAACATGGAATTGCCATAGAACCTGCCAATTCCACTACTGGATATAGACCCAAAAGAATGGAAAACAGGTGTTCAAATGAAAACTTGTACACAATGTTCATAGCAGCACTACTCACAACAGCCAAAAGGTAGAAACAATGCAGATGTCCATCAACTGATGCATGGATAAACAAAATGTGGTACAGCCAAACGAGAATATTATTCAGCCATAAAAAGGAATAAATATTGATATATGCTACAGTATGGGTGAACCTTGAAAACATTATGCTAAGTGAAACTAGCCAGACACAAAAGGCCACATATTTTATGATTCCAATGAAATCAGCAAATCCATAATTTCTGCTTGACTAACACAAATTAGTGATTGCCAAGAGCCAGAGGAAGGGGAGAATGGGGAGTGGCTGTGTAACAGGTATAGGATTTTTTGGGGGGTAATGAAAATGTTCTGGAACTACATAGTGGTGATGGTTGCACAACATTGTAAATGTTATTAAATGTCCTTAATGGGAAATTTTTTATGTGTATTTTACCACAATTAAAAATATATATATATATAAATATTTGATGCCTTATATCCTGTATTTAAAGGGTCTTACACAGTGCCTGGCATATAGGAAGTGATTTTAAAAAGCAAGTAACGCAGGAGCCATTACAAAGCTGGAAGTGCCTCTGGGGTTGTCTTAGCCAATGCCCTCATTCCTGAATGAGGAAACTCATGCCCGGCAAAGGAAAAGAGAAAATCACCAATGTTACATAATAACAAACCTTTATTTCTAGTGGGCATCCCAGTTAAGCCCTTTCCACACTCCTATGACATAGGCAAACCAGGTATTAATATCCCCATTTTACAGGCGAAGAAACTGTGGCTCTGAGAGGTTAAGAACCGACAATCAGGTCTAACTCTGAGCCTTTGCTGACTCCTCTTCCATTTGACTTTGAAAAGCTGGAGGCTCAGGACTCAGGGCTCAGGGCTTGGCTTTCTGTATCCTTCCCATGCCTTTCTTTACATACTGACTATATAATGGCTTTCTGTATTATATATACTGACTATATAATGGCTCTCCTCATAATGACTTTCTTTACATACTGACTATATAATGACGACTCTCAAATTCCTGTTTCCAATTCCTACTCTTTTCTGAATTCCAGATTTGGATGGAGTCTACCTGGATGTCTAATGGACATTTCAGCCCAATACATTCAAAGAACACCACATCCCACCCCTCCCCTAAACCTTCTCAGTTTCCCATCTCACCATCTTAGAAAACAGCTGCACTATTCACCCAGTTGCTCAGGCCCAAAATCTAGTAAGCATCTTTTATTCTACTGTTTCTCTATACCCATAATGAATCTATCACCAGGTCCTACTGTTCTCTCTGCAAAATATACCCAGACTGTGACCCCTTCACCATGTCCTCCACTAGATACTACACTAGCTCGTATTGCCTTCATACCTAGATGATGCACTTGCCTCCCAAACTGGTCTCCCTGCTTCCTCCACCCTTGCCCCTTACAGTCTGTTTGCTACATAGCAGTGTGAGTAATCTTTAAATGTATAAAGAAGACAGTATCACTTTTTCTGCTCATAACCTTCCAAGAGCTTCCCATTACACTCCAAAAAAAAAAACTAAACTCTTTTCTGTAGCCTTTGAGGCCTAAGCCTCCGCCTTCACCTTCTACCACTCTCCCCTTTGCTCACTCCACTCCAGCCACTTCTCGAATACACCAAGCTCAGTCCCATCCTCTGCCCAATTTCCTTCCTGTCATATAGCTTGCTTCTTCACTTCAGGTCTCACTGTTCAAATGCCACATCTTGAACACGCTGCCTCCCACCATCCTGCAGTCTACCGTGCTTCACTGTTTGTTCTTTCATGTGACATAATATTATTCACTTATTCATTGCTTGTCTTCTCTACTAGAATGTGAGCTCCAGGAAGGTGGGATTTTGCTTGCCTTGTTTACTGCTATACTATAGATGTTCAGTGCTATTTGTTGAATGAATAAGTGCTCCCCAAGAGTACCTAGCCCTCCACCAGTAGAGCAGAGATTTGGCAGGGAGGGGAATATACACCCATTCCCCCAGCAGCCCCTTACCTGTCTTTGTATTTGGACAACTTCTCTTCCTCCCAGGCAGTGTTTCCACCTCCAAAGTTGTCCCGGATGGTTCTCTCCAGGCCCTGGAAACAGAAAATTAGTAATAGCTAAGTACAGTGCCTGGCACATGCTAGCACTTCACTGTTCTACTGACCAGGAAACTGAGGCACAGAAAGGCAACTTGCCTAGGGCCATACAACTAGTAAGAGACCAAAATGAAACTTGAATCCACGCAGATTTGCATCCCAGCGTTCCCCACTCTAAATCGCTGTGTTCCCCTCCAACGAGGCTGCTGGTGCACCCACCTTGTTGAAGCTGTCAACCAGTCCCCGGCAGGTATGACACGGATGGGGCTGAGGCGGGGGAGAAGACTGGGGAGGTGGAGAGGGCTGGAGCCAGATGGGGTCTGGGAGGCTGAGGAAGAGGCTCAGGCCCCAGAGCACAGCTGGGACCAGGCCCTTCGGGAGCCATGGGGCCATCTTTACCCAGGCTGGGGACCTGCAAAAAGAGGGCGTGGAGAGGCTTCACTGAAGGAGTCAGGCCCCACGCGAGAAAGAAAAAGGTCTGTTCTGAGGTGCCGTGGCGTTGGGAAGTGCGTTATTACAAGCAAAAGAGGCCAAACTGGGTACTGCAGGGGCTGTGGGGATGAGTGGGGAAAGGCGCATAAGATGCAATTCCAGAAGAGAAATAAGTTATCCCCGTTAGCATGGGGGTGGGGAGAGGAAAGTGGCCTCGCTCCTTGGCAAGGGGGCAGAAGTCAGCCTCTTGTTTGAGGGTCTGATAAAGGCTATTAGGGGCCGGATCCGCAGAATTAGGGAGAAGAGATCAGATTCCAAGTACTGAAGGAGAGGAGGCCAGAGGGGTTGTTTTGGGGGAGGTGTCCGGAACCCCGGGCTTTGGGGGAGGAGCCCGGATCCGGATATGAAGGGAAGGGGTCAGATTCAGGGCCTCGCAGAAGGGCAAAGGCACGGCCCACGAGCCGGCAGAGAAGGATCCAGACCCTCGTAGGCCACGGAGGAGGAAGAACCGACCGCCCCAGCGCACGGGCGCGGTGAGCCGTCTCCTCACCGCGTAGCTGCCACAGCCTGCGTAAAACGCACAACCCCCACCCGCGCTGCAGTCCCGGGGGCGGAGCGTGCCGCCCAGCCAATGGTGACGGGCCATGTGCCATTACGTCACCCCACGCCAGCCAACCACAGGCGGTACCGAGCTGCACCTGTCCCGGCTTTAAAGGGCCGCGGGGCTAGGGAACGACGTTTGCCAGCCCAGCCACGGAGACGCAGACGCGTGTGGGCCACATGGGTAGAAAAACAGCGTCTGCCTTTATTCAAGTCCCGTCCCCGGCCCCAGGTCCCACCCCGCGTCCAGGCGCGGGAGTCCCCGGGGGATGGAAGTAGCTATCCAGGGCTGGCTGAAGGGCCCGGGAGACTTGCTCCGCCCTCTCTTGGAGCCGCCCGGGACGCGGGGCGCGGGGCTGCTGCAGGGCCCCCAGGAAGTCCGGCAGTTGGGAGGGCAGTGAGAAGACGGGCACGGTACGGAAAAGGGCGGGTACGGAGTCCGGGTGGAGCAGCCTGTCGAAGCAGGCCCCCACGTAGCGGCCGGGCGCCCGGCCCTGCAAGAAGTCGGGCAGCACGCAGCTGAGCGAGGCACGGAAGGCGTCGTGTGGGCCGTGCGCCCCGGGCGCGGACACCCCGTCCTGTAGCCACTCACTGCACAGTGCCACCGCCCCGGGCGAGAAGAGCAGGACCACCACGCCGCCCTCCTGCAGGGTCTGGCGCCGCTGCGCGTGGAACCAGGCCACGGGTCCCTGCGCGCTCATTTCACGACGGCTCCACAGGTCTACGGCCACGCGCAGCGGCAGCTGGCACAGCGCCGACGCCAGGGCGCCCACCAGGCGCTCGAAGCCCGAGTCATCGGCTGAGTAGAGGAGCAGAGCCGCGCGGCCCCTGGCGGCCGCTGCTGGAGAAAACAGATGGGGAGGGAAGAGGTGAGCTGGCACAGGCCTGGCCCCCCAGGGGCGGCCCCCCGCCCAGCGCGCGCTCCCACTCACCCCCCGAGCGGACGTCCTGTTTCAAGAGCCTCAGCCACCCTGTTAGGGGAGAGGGGCGGAGGCAGCCTGTGAGCTCGGCCGCCACCTTCCCTCGGAGAACTCCCACAGCCACTCTGGTCCTGCCCCTGGGGAATGGGGAGCCGGGAAGCGCTCACCTTTCGCGTGATCCTTTTTGAGAAGGAGGATGAGGGAAAGCGCAGCGGCAAAGAGTAGGCAGGCCAGCCACAAGAGGGCCCAGCGCTTGTGGATGTCTGGGAGACCCATGGAAGAAGAGTTAGAAACTTACACTCACCTTCCACAGAGGAGAAAAACTGAGACTTAAGAGAAATGATTTGACGGCCGCGCGCGGTGGGTCACGCCTGTAATCCCAGCACTTTGGGAGGCCAAGGCGGGTGGATCACGAGGTCAGGAGTTCAAGACCAGCCTGGCCAACATGGTGAAACCCCGTCTCTACTAAAGATACAAAAAATTAGCCGGGTGTGGTGGCGCACGCCTGTAATCCCAGCTACTCGGGAGGCTGAGGCAGGAGAATCGCTTGAACTCGGGAGGCAGAGGTTGCAGTGAGCAGAGATCGCGCCATTGCACTCCAGCCTGGCCGACAGGTTGAGACTCCTCTCAAAAAAAGAAAAAAATGATTTGTCCAAAGTCCACAGCACAGTGTCAGAGCCAGTGGATGAATATAGCTCCATCTGTTTAGGGGTCTTTGAATAAGTAAGGTCACCTTCTGCCTCAGTTTTCTCCTCTGTGAAGTTGTAGCTACGTCACAGGGTTGGTATGAGGACTAAATATATTAATATATATAAAGCACTTAACACAATGCCGAGCATCTTAAGTTCTAAAATGTCAGCTCGTATTATTCTCCCCTAAGCTAGGGTTGCTGGGCCCTTGATCTTGCTGTCCTGGGTGTCTGCAACTATATAGTGTCCCTGCCCTGTCTTTTTTTCGCCTCCAATCGATTCACCTTGAATTAATTCATGGCAGCCTCAGAAATCTTTTAAAAATGTAAATTTGGGCCCGGCGCGGTGGCTCACGACTATAATCCCAGCACTTTGGGAGGCCGAGGCGGGCGGATCACGAGGTCAGGAGTTCAAGACCAGCCTGGCCAAGACGGTGAAACCCCATCTCTACTAAAAATACAAAAATTAGCCGGGCATGGTGGCGGGTGCCTATTAATCCCTGCTACCCGGGAGGCTGAGGTAGAGAATTGCTTGAACCTGGGAGGCAGGGGTTGCAGTTAGCTGAGATCGTGCCATTGCATTCTAGCCTGGGCGACAGAGCGAGACTCTGTCTCAAAAATAAAAAAATAAAAAAAAATATATATATATATAAAAATTTGATTGTAACTCCTGCTGCTCTCAACATAAGATCTAAATCTCCTACATGGCTCCTGCATCTTTATCTCATGACAGAAACCTGCCTGTCCAAGACCCTCTATCTCTACCCCCTTCCCCTAGCTCAGTCTTCAGAGTTTTGCTGAAACCTTCCCCCTGAGCCCTTCACCCCACCCAGGTCAGGTCCACATTGTATGCATTTACAGCACTGAACACTTGGTGGTGCTTCAGTAGCTCACACTTTAAATGTGACTGGCTCATGTCTTGCTAGTCTTCTAGGGATAGGGGGCAGGGATTTATCTTTTTGGTGTTCCTGGGATCCCTGCAAGCTCTCATCATATTTTTTGAGTGAATAAAGGAATGACCCTCTGTTTATCTGATCTCAGGGAAGGACAAGGCCATTGCATGTGCTGTGCCCAAGAGTGGTCCCTGTCAAGATCCCCGCTCCTGGTACAGAAAGGAAAGGCAGTTCTTACAATACTCACATTTGTCCATGGGGCAGGCCCATAGCGCTCCCAAGTCATCATCCCATAGCTGTAAGATACAAACAGAACCAAATCCAGGGCAGCAGCCAGGTGTTTAACATTCACCAAGCTCTGGTGGCCTGATCTGCAAATTCCCAGCATCAACTATGCATATCTCCCTGCTAGGGTTCCTGCAGCTGCTCTGCCTTTGTTTATGCTGTGCCCACTGCCTATGGTGTGACTTCTTCCATACCAAATCTGGCTTATAGGAAGAAATTCTTCCCGGAAGCTCTCCCTGGAACCCAAAACTTAGCACCTCTAGGTGTGGTTATCTGTTTACAGGTGTCTAGCCAACAGTGTGCCCCTTGGGGATAGGAACTATGCTTCGTCTACTCTTTTTTTGTTTTGTTTTGTTTTGTTTTGTTTGAGACGGAGTCTCGCTCTGTCGCCCAGGCTGGAGTGCAGTGGCCGGATCTCAGCTCACTGCAAGCTCCGCCTCCCGGGTTTACGCCATTCTCCTGCCTCAGCCTCCCGAGTAGCTGGGACTATAGGCGCCCGCCACCTCGCCCGGCTAGTTTTTTGTATTTTTTTTTTGGTAGAGACGGGGTTTCACCGTGTTAGCCAGGAAGGTCTCGATCTCCTGAGCCCGTCTCGGCCTCCCAAAGTACTGGGATTACAGGCTTGAGCCACTGCGCCCGGCCCTTCATCTACTCTTAACTTTCCCAGGGCTGAACATAAAATAAGCCTAAATAGACAGGAGGTGAGTGCTAGTTTTAGGCCTGTTGCCCCTGGGCATTGAGGTGGGGCCCTTCTGCCACCAGCTCACCTGCAGACATTGGCCTGACTGCAGGTCTTGTAGTAAGTACTCTCCAAGGCGAGCTGCCCTCTGCCAAGACAAAGGATGGGGGCACTGTTACCTGGAGGTAGCACCCTTAGGGCAGCACCTACCGGGCTACAGCTGGGTAGAACGGGGTAGACGGGATCGGGAGACTTTGGTGATGCCGCTGAATATGGCCCTGGTCTGAGTCACCCCCGTGTTCCCAGAGACCGGCACAGGGTGGATGGAGTGAAAATTTGAGGCCAGGTGTGAGATGCATTTGGAGAGCTGTGGAGGAGGGTCACCCAGTCCTAACCGTGGAGGCTTTGCTGGGTAGTGAAGTACAGCCACTGGGTTCCAAGGCACAGAGGGATCTGTTGTCCTGGGGGCCTCGTGTCTCCAACAGTAGCACATCGTCTTTGAGAGGCCCCAGGGAGTCTGGAAGGGGTGAGAGGCCACTCTGACCAAGACCCAACTTTGCTGGGATTGGCCACTTGCCCACCTCCCATGCCCTGACCTTCACCCCTAGGAGGTGGCCCTGTCCCAGCCACCCCCAGGCCCAACTCACCAGCCCACAAGCACTCCTGCAGCTGCAGCTTCTCCCAACTGTTCACCTGCTGGGAAGAGACCATGGTTAGGGCCACTAAGAAAAGCAAAAGCCAAAGGCAGAAAGACCAGAACAGGGCAGGCAACAGAAGGCCTGTTGGGTTGGGAATCTGCACTCAATCTGATCTTGAGCAGATGTGGATTCAAGGCTGGGTGATTAGGAGTCACTACATCTTTCTCTGCTCCAGCCTTGTGAGGTCATCTGTGTAAAGTATCTTCTGACCCTAAAGCTGTTTTTATGTCTTACAAAGCATAGTTCCCCTCTCATCTAACCTTCTCAAAGAGATTCCCTTCTCACATGACCATCCTGCTAAAAATTGCAACCCCAGTCCCACCTTATCCCTTTCCCATAGTATTTGTATGCAATTTTAAGATATTATATAATTTATTTACAATGTCTGTTGGCTGCCTTTGTCCATTACAATATAAGTTCTATGAGGGTAGAGATGTTAGGATCTATCACAAGTGCCTAAAACAGTGACTCGCACTGCTAAAAACATCTCGAATGAGTGAATATTCTTATAATCACCCTTTGAAACTGTAGAGCAACCCATTCTACATGTATGGAAATAGAATAAGGATAGCAATAACAAAAGTGGCTACATTTATTGAGCATTTAGTCTGTACGGATTCCTAAGGGGAAGCACTTCTCTTATTTCATCGTCACAACCACTCCATGAGGCAGTTACTGTGTTATCATCTGCATTAAACAGATGAGGAGACTGACGTTCAGAGAAGTGAAGGGACTTGCCCAGGGTCCCACACACTGCTAAAGTAAATAGTGGAACTCCCAAAGAGGAAGCTGGCAACCACTATGCTTTAGCGGCCCAAGAACTAAGATCCCCCTGGCTAGGGGGTCTGCCCAGGTCCAACCCCCAGCCCAGCACTCGGCACCCCTTTCTGACCTGAACACAGAGGTTAGGGTGGACTTTCAGCAATGGGAACTCGAGAACCTTCTGTGGAAAGAGAGGAATGGGTGGGATCACAAAAGGGGGACCCTGGTTCCCCACTCTCCCCTCACTACGGGAGGTGTCCTCTGCTTTACTTACGTCCACAGTGACATTTTCCCAGGAAAGCGGCGGGACCAGTGGCTGGCAGGGGTCCCCACCTGGAGCCTGCCAGCACAGTGCGGCTTCTGCGGGCAGCGAACACGGCGCGTCCAGCAGCCAGCTCTGCAGGGTCAGCAGTCGCAGCCGGGCTGCTCGCCAGAGGTTCTGGTGTGCGCGGGGGTCTGCAAGGAAAGGGCGCAGTCACCACACGCTAGGCACCCATCGCTCGCAATGCCCCAGCCCCAACCCCAGCCCCAGGCCGGTCAGCTCACCCTCCCTGAAGGGGCAGATGTTTGTCCTAACGGAGTCAGGTTCCAGAGGCCACACCTGGAAAGGAAACGGGGGTCTGCTCAGGTCCCCTCCATGGGCATGTGCCTGGCCCTCTGCTAGACACTGGGGACACACTCATTCAGCAGATAGTTCACAAGTATGTGCTGGGTCTTCTCGCCTTTTACAAAACCTGGAGATGCTCACATCTATTCTTCCAGCAAACATAATGCTGGGCACTGGCAAAATTTTCATTCAACAAACTTTTTTTTTTTTTTTTTGAGATAGAGTCTCACTCTTGTCGCCTAGGCTGGAGTGTAGTGGTACAATCTTGGCTCACTACAACCTCCGCCTCCCAGGTTCAAGCGATTCTCCCATCTCAGCCTCCTGAGGAGCTGGGATTATAGGCGTGTGCCACAGCGCCAGGCTAACTGGTTAATTTTTGTATTTTTAGTGGAGATGGGGTTTCACCACGTTGATCAGGCTGGTTTCGAACTCCTGACCTCAAGTGATCTGCCCCTCTTGGCCTCCCAAAGTGTTGGGATTACAAGTGTGAGCCACCACACCTGGCCCATTCAACAGACTTTTAATGGGTGCCTACCATTGTGTCTTAGCAGTATGGCAGGCACAAGGGACCTTGGATAATTAAATATTTATTTATTTATTTATTTATTTATTTATTTATTTATTTATTTATTGAGACCGAGTCTCACTCTGTTGCCCAGGCTGGAGTGCAGTGGTGTGATCTTGGTTCACCACAACCTCTGCCTCTTGGGTTCAAGTGATTCTCCTGCCTCAGCCTCCCGAGTAGCTGGGACTGCAGGCGTACATCACCACGCCTGGCTTATTTTTGTACTTTTAGTAGAGACTGGGTTTCACTATGGTGGTCAGGCTGGTCTCAAACTCCTGACCTCGTGATCCACCCACCTTGGGCTCCCAAAGTGCTGGGATTACAGGTGTGAGCCACCACGCCTGGCGGATAATTAATTTTAATTTATTCCACAGTCACTTTGTGAGTACCTGCTATGTGTCAGGGAATGTGCTAAGTTCTAAGGACACATTCATTTATTCTTTCAACAGACGTTTTAAGAGTGCCTATTACATGCATAGCTCTGTGCTAAGCACTAGAGGTAATATATAAATTTATTCATCAAGCCTTCAGTTAGGAACACCAACTATGTGGCAGGCATTGTGTTTGGCAATGAAGACATTTAAATCACAGCATACATCTCATGAACATCTGCTGTGTCCTATGGCTGTGCTAGGCAGTAAGATTTATTCACTCATTCAACAGTGAGGACCCTCATACTGTTACCTTGTTTAAAAGCAAAACAAAACAATGAGTAGGCGCTATATGCCAGGCACCATGCAAGGCTCTTGCAAAGCTATTACATTTGAATTAGATATTTGCTTGCCTTCAAGGAAATCACAAACTCACACTTGTAGTAAGGATAAAATATTTATATAAATTAGTAAAGCACTCACTCATTTCATAATATTTATTGAGCATCTGTTGTGTACAAGAAGAAATTAGATGCCCAAATAAGAAAGGAAGTGATCGAGCTGGGTGTGGTGGCCCATCGCCACAAAACATTAAAAAATGAAAACAGGCTGGGCACAGTGGCTCACGCCTATAATTCCAGCACTTTGGGAGGCCGAGGCGGGTGGATAACGAGGTCAGGAATTTGAGACCAGCCTGACCAACCTCGTCTCTACTAAAAATACGAAAATTAGCCAGGTGTGGTGGCGTGTGCCTGTAATTCCAGCTACTTGGGAGGCTGAGGCAGGAGAATGGCTTGAACCTGGGAGGCAGAGGTTGCAGTGAGCCGAGATCACGCCACTGTACTCGCCACTGCACTCCAGCCTGGGCAAAAGAGTGAAACTCCATATTAAAAAACAACAACACAAAAAAGGAAACAATTAGCCAGGCATGGTGGCCCATGCCTGCAGTCCCAGCTGCTCAGAGGCTGAGGCAGGAGGATCCCTTGAGCCTGGGAGGTTGAGGCTGCAATGAACCGTGTTCATGCCACTGCACTCTAGCATGGGTGACAGAGCAAGATGCTGTCTCTAAAAAAAAAGAAAAAGAAAAAGAAAAAATTTTAAGAAAATAAAATAAATGAAGTGATAAATGGACAAGGAAAGATAGAAGTGCAAGGGGATTTGGAACTAGGAGAGGCTGGGTGGTTGGGGAAAAGCTTTGGGAAAGAGGTGAGGGTATTTGAGGTAATGGGAATCACCTGAGAAAAGGCAGGGAGATGGGTGTATCTTGGTAAGTAGCTCCACTGGATGTAACAGTGTTCTCATGAAGGAGAATCATGGGGAAAATACAGTGAAAAGGCACCACTGGGGGCAGAATATGGGCCCAGAATGCCAGGAAAGTGATGGGAAGGGAGGGGAGCTTGGAAGTATTTAAACAGTCTAGAAAAGAGATGATAGAGCTCCAAGCTGGACTGAGATGGAGAGGAGGGGGAAAGAGAATGAGGGACATTAATGTCAGAGGTAAGATGGATAAGACCTGATGACCAATTAAATGTGCAATCAGGGGCCAGTCATGGTGGCTCATGCCTGTAATCCTAGCACTTTGGGAGGCCGAGGCGGGCGGATCATGAGGTCGAGAGATCGAGACCATCCTGGCTAACAAGGTGAAACCCTGTCTCTACTGAAAATACAAAAAAATTAGCCGGGCGTGGTCACAGACACCTGTAGTCCCAGCTACTCAGGAGGCAGAGGCAGGAGAATGGCGTGAACCCGGGGCGGAGCTGCAGTGAGCCGAGATCTGCGCCACTGACTCCCAGCCTGGGCACAGAGTGAGACTCTTCTCAAAAAAAAAAAAAAAAGTGCATCGGCCAGCCACATGGCTCATGCTTATAATCCCAGCACTTGGTGGGAGGCAGTGGAGGTACGACATAGCCCAGGAATTCAGAACAGGCCTGGTAACCATAGGCAAGACCGCATTTCTACACAAAACAAAAAAACTAGCTAGTATAGTATGCTCACCAGTAGTTCCAGTTTTACTTTGGGAGCTGAGCAGGAGGACTACTGAACCCAGGGACCGAGCTCAGTGTGCCATGATTGTCGGGGCCACTGCACTCAGCCTGGGAAACAGAGTGAACCTTGTCTAAAAAATATAAATAAAGGCAGAAGGAGAGGAGACCCACAGGTTTAAGCTGATGTGCACACATTCTTATAACAGAGCCCCAAAGCGTTACTATTATTATCCCATTATAGATGGAAACAGCTCAAGAAGGTGATAGACTTGCCCAAGGTTACTACAACCATACAAATGCAAGAGCCAAGATCAAACCAGTCCATGATTCTAGGCACAGCTTGCCCTCCAGTGAACCCAAAGAAACTGGACGGCAGTAGGAAAGGCTTCAAGGAGAAGGTTGAATGAATGGGGGGCCATGAAGTGTCAGTAAGCAGTTCTGTGGAGGGATCAGTGAGAGCATTCGGGAAGTAAAGATCAGAAGTCATAAGACAGCAAGGGTCAATGGAAGGGCCAGCCATCCCAGGGAGTCCACAGTCTCCACCTCCCAATGAATGGTTTGAAGACATGGTGAGACCAGGAGGCCAGGATCACCCCTCATCATCTCACCTCCTTTCTGGCACCAGCTGGACACTGCTCCTACACTGAATACAGAGGCAGCGGAACCAGGATCTTGTCGGCTCAAGAATGTCGGCGGTCCAGTCTGGTGGAACAAAATAAAGAAGGAGGTTGAGAAGATAAGGAGAGAGCGCCAAGTCAATGGAAAAGCTCAGGAGGGGAAAGTTCCCACCCAGTGTCTCCATTGTTTGGGTGACTCCTCTTCAACGGTACCCCTTGATAAGGGCACTACCCGCCTTTGCACAGGCATTAAGCCTACGATGGATGACATATGGGATGAGGGCGGCCTCCACCAGGAGATTATAGATAGCCAACCGGGTTTTGGGACACTGGACCGATGATTCCAATAACAGGGAGATGGCCAACAGGCTGCCCCAGAACATTCAGGAACAGATTTGAGATCATTGTCACCCATCTCTGACACCGTTGAGCCAGGGCAGGGCTGGTGGAGAGGCAAAAAGAAGAGCACCAGCTTATACTTCCTCACCTCGTCTGCATACCTGACTGATCCCTTGAGTTCTTTCCACCCCTTAGCGGAGGCCTTGGAGGACAGAGCGCCGTTGTCTCACCTCCAGACCAGACTTTGCCCCTACAGCTGCCCCAGACCTAAGCCTGTGGAAGGCCTGTGTGTGGTCCTGAGGACAGGGCTATTGTCTCTGCACCAGAAGAATGTACCTCCTTTAAAACAAATCCCTTTAAAACAAGTCAACTGTGACCTTTCTGATCTCGCACTCTGAACCTATGTGTCCTTTTATTTTTTTTTTTTGAGGGCCCACTCTGTGCCCAGCTGGAGTACATGGCTAGATAGCTCACTGCAACTCCCACCTCCTGGATTCAAATGGCCGATTCTCTTGCCTCAGCCATCCCGAAGTAACTGAGTACAGGCATGCGTCACCCACGCCCTGCTAATTTTTGTATTTTTAGTAAGACTGGGGTTCGTTCATTGTTGGACAGGCTGGTCTTGAACCCTCGACGCTCAAGCAATACCTGGCCCTCAGCTTCC